GATATAACACAAGTCTTAAAATATTCAAAAAGGCAATTAAAACTATGAGGAACAGACATAATCCTCATGGCATGATATTCAAATCAGATCACACATCAAGAGAGACAGACATAATCTTCTTGGTCATATAAATACTTTTAATAAAAAGGATTAGAATTTACATGCTTTACAAAAAAGATATGTCCTAAGTTGGCACAAGATACATTGTATAATCCAAAATAAGAGGCAACGTAAAAGATGATGTCTCATACACCATAGTTACACCTCTGGTGCTTTCTCGGCTGGAATCGCTCCTATAAAAATATTAACCACGGAGAATGAGACTTAAAAGTCTCAGTAACTAAAAATTAATATATAATGATACATGCGGTTGTAACTAATCATGCGATTGCTAAGTTGGCATATAAAATATTTAACCGAACAATATTTTCAAACAAATTGAACAAGTATTTAATTTGCATGACTGCACCTTATATTCTCCTTTTGTCATGCTCGGACGCCAAATCACCTGGCTAAAGGTGAGTTGGACCAAGCGACACACCACTCATTGGGTCCAATGAGGGCTTACCACGTGGTAATAATTAACCGAACAGAAATTTCCATTAACACCATACATTAAAATATCCTGACAAGTCATGCATTATTCAAATATTCAAACAGAAATATATCCAAATAATAATATCTCATCATGATAAACAAAAATAAATTTTTTTAACTCACTTGGCAATAGTTTCAAACAAGTATATACAGTATTTATTTTCAAAAATTCATAATTTTTCCAAACAATAAAGCAACACATAACCATTTACAAACACACCCATCACAACACATTAATAATGGTTACCTTGTGTCATGAATAACAAGTTCCCCTTTATAACTACTTTTTCACCATTATCTTTGTCAATATAATCTACATAATTATTTCACAATACTATATATTAATTTTACATTAAAATTAATAAATAACTCTAAATTAAAGAGTTAGAAAGTCTTAGATTTAAAATCTATATTGACACTAATTTAAGATTTATGCCTCATTTAACTTCCCAAATTCTTTTCTAAAATTTTCATACCTTAATAAATCATATTTAAGCCTCAAATCACCTTTCTATAACCTCAAAAATACCTATTCATACTTAAATAAATATTTAATAATCAGAGGTTCATCCCTACATCTCAGATTCCACATAAATTCAACCATATAGATCTAAATTTTAACTCAAAAATTCTTAAACATGAGTTTTAACTTCAAGAAAATATTCTATAATATTTATTATATCCCTAAGAGTTTTGACTTATATTTTTAATCCATCATATCATCAGATTAACTATCCTATAGAAAAATCCTAATCAGAATATTTATTCTATCCTACAAAATAATCATATCACTAGAAAACTAATATTATTTAGAAAATAACTATAAAATTAATTTTTTAATTAAATAAATTTTTAAATGCTAATCTAAACAGGAAAGTTAGAACATACCTGAAGAAAAAGAAAATAATCCCTCCTTGCGAGAAAACGCTGAGCAATATGAGAGGAAGGGAGAAAAATAATATAAAAATGAGATTGTGGGTCCCAAAATTATATTAAAAAAATTATAAGTTTGAATTTAATTATTCAAACTTTTGGGTCATTACTTGCAATTTTCACAAATTGCACCTTGGGCCCGTAGTTGCAATTTTCACAAATTATATAAACTTTTCTTTTTTTTTCCTTCTGCTCCTCCTTGCCTGTGCCTCCTCCTTTTATATGTAAGGAGGCACCTCACCTTCCCACATCTAATCGATGTGGGACTTCAACAGTGCCTCTCTCTGTTTTTTTTTACTTCAACCATTTTTTTTACTTTTTTTTAAACTCTCACACACACATAATTTTTTTATTTTAAATCTTAAAATTATATCTTAACAAAATATTTCTTATATAATTTTAAACCTAAATTTTTAATTCATAATTAAATTTCTAACCATATTATTATTTCTAAATAATCTCAAATAATATAAATTCCTATTATTATCATTTTTTTAAAATCAGGATGTTACACAAGAAAATTCGGGCCAAGCCCGATCGGATTCAGGCTTGGCCCGAATACCTGAATAGAAAAAAATAATTTTTTTTAAAAAAATAATATAATAAATATTAATTATTTTTAAAGTTTTATATCATTTTATTCTAAAATACCATATATTTGAGTATATTACTATAGTTATTTTAAAAAAAATAAAAATAAAAATATTTTCTTATTTTATTATTTTTAATTAAATAAAATATCTCAAAATAATAATTAAAATATATTTTAATATTAATTTTTATATTTCAATTTTTTTCAAAATAAAAGTTGAGTCATATACACCATTTTCTTGTCCAAAAAATTATATTTTATATTTTTTATAAAATAAAATAATTAATTTTAAATTAAAAATAATTTTAAAAATAAATTTTGGGTACGTATGAATTCCTGACTCTACTACTAAACAAATATAATAAATAAAATAATATTTTTAAATAATTATTTAATTATCATCCATGCCAAACTTGATTAAAAATTTAAAATGAACTAAAGTAAATACCCTTTGTATATACTATATAGAGCTTAAACAATATAAAAGGTTAAGGAAAAAAATTTAAAAAAATAGTGTTTTATCCATAATTAAATAATTTTTTATATAATATAATGATGGTTATTTTTCTTATATTCTTAAAAATAAAAAGTACAGTTTATCTGATAGTTATTAAAAACTTTAAGTTAATCAGGGAAATAATTTTATATTAGTAGTTTAACTGTAGTTGAATTGAGATTAACTTGATTATAATTAAAATAATATAATTCAATTAAAATTTATAAATATTTTTTATAACCATGATAATGGTAATATTTAAATAAATAAGACATTAATTTATAAATAAAGAAAATATTCATAAATAAATTGCATGTAATATAACAAAATAATAACAGAACTACTTAAGTACTTAACTACAAAGTTAATAAGTTATTATTTTTTTATTCCTTTCAAGTTAAAATAATATTTCATACTTAATAAAATATTTAAAAATTAAAATTGATTAAAAAATGAAGAAAAAATATTTTTTAAAAAACTTTCGAGTATTTGGGCTGGCCCGAATAAGCCCGAAGATGTTAGGGTCGGGTTTGACTATATGAACTTTTTAGAATGAGTAGGATTCTTTAAGCTCGGCACGAATTAAGCTCGGCCTGAATAAACCTGTCTCGCCAAAATTATCGGCTTTAGATACAAACACGTATAAGCTATAGTTTATAAATTTGAATTAAAACTTTTTTAAAAAATAAAAAAGTAACAAAGTAACAGAATTGGTTCTGGTTCTATGATGTAGCTGGACTGAACTTGGGATTGATTTTCATTTCAACCAACCGAACCGATTAGTCCAATCCGGTGCTAATAACAGTAAAAATATTAAAATTAAAAATAATTTATAAATAAAATCAAAAGTGTAATAAACTAATAATTAAGAAACCTGGGGCCAAACAAAGCTCCTTGGTATAAAATAAAAAAAGAGATATATTTTTTTTTATTTGGACGTGAGAAACCAATGATGAATAAACAGTCTTGGTACAAAAGCACTTTCACATTGCATCTTCGTGGAAAAGTACTTCAGACAATAAACCGTGTCTGAAAACTTAAAAAAGTACATTTGATTGAGTCAAAAAGAGCTCGCAAACGACACATTTATTATTTGGTAGAAATTTCTTCTTACCTTCTTCCTTTGTTGGTAAAGGAAATTTTTAATTAATTTAAACCATACTTTTTTTTTTCAATTTGGACGTAAAGAGTTCGCGTGATGTGAAATAAAAAAGTAAAATTTCAATGAAGATCTTTTATTTGAGTTAATTATAGTCAAAATTTACACATTTTTTTAAAATCATATGTAAAAGATTGAAATGAAATTAAAAACTAATAAAAAGACTTTATTATTCTTAGTCAAGTTAAATACATGAATAATTTGTATACAAAAATTAATGATTGATGTATAAAAAATTAAAAAACTGATGTAAGTGAACTTTATAATTTTCAGTAACAGTAGTTATTAATTTTTTTATACGAATTTTTCATATTTCTAATTTTATCATGGACATTAAAATCATTTCAATTAGCCTTTTAATTTCATTTTAGTCTAAAATTTAAAAATTTTTAAAGTTTTGACACAAATTAAATTGTGTCAAGTGTCCTCATCAAAACTCTCCAAACAAAAATTTGAATTTAAAGAATTTTCAAGACTTTCTAAAATTTTTTAAATACTTTGAACAAGAAAAGTGAAAAGTCCACCATGGAAGTGATGTTGACGTGCAGTCAGAAAAGAGTTGGGAACGAAAGTTTTCCATTATTTCATGGAAATTTCTTCCTATTTTTAACAAGAAATTTCCGCCGACAGTTTTAATTCGCCTGTCGCAATAAAAATAATGACGCACTAGTCAAGGCTCACAGGCTCATTTTTCTGCTTCCTGGAAATTTCCGTGTTAACATAAATTTGAACAAAGGTTCAACAGTCACAGCCTGAAATGCTAAAAAATCGATTATTGAGGTTAAATAATTATTTTTTAAAATATTACCTAAATAGCCAGAGTCTTGATAATTGATTATTTAAGTTAGAATTATATTTTAAAATAAACTTTTGAAAGTTGTTTATAAATTTAATTTTATTATTAAATAATACATTTTATTTCTTAAATAAAGTTTGACAAATTTAATAATATTAAATATAACTTTATTAATAATTTAATTTTAAAAAAAATGTCCTCCACAATAACTTATATAGTTGAAATTAATTTTAATATCAAAATAGATTGTGTTATAATATAATCAATTAAAATTAAAATCAAAATTAAAATTAATCATATTTTATAATTAATTACACACAACTAAAATTTAAAGGGACTCGTTAGACTTATTTTTCTGTTGTGTCGATCTAATTCCCAAGATAAGCAAACTCTTCAAATCAACCTTTGATTTGATGTAGTCATTCCCACCAAGTTTTCAGCCTATAGCACCATTTCAGCTTATGACCAACAATACCTTCTGCTTCCTGGAAATATCTTTCTTTTCTTTTTTTTGGGTCTCCTGGAAATTTCCCTGTTGACTTCAATTTGAACAAAGGCTCAATATACTCAGACTCATTTTTCTGTTGTGTCCATCGAATTCCCAGGATAAGCAAACTCGCCAAATCAACTTCAAGTCTTCAACTTTAGATTTGATTTAGCCTCTCCCACCAAGGTATTGATTTGATCTTTCTCCTTCGTTTTCTAACAACTTATACGCTACTCTTTCTTTCTTGTCTTTTCTGTGGGAAAAAAAATCAACAACCTATAAAACTTTGTTTTTTGTTTTCGGTGCTTCAGCAATGGCTGCTTCTGCTTCTTCTTCCCAAGTGAAACATGATGTTTTCATCAGCTTTAGAGGTTCAGACATCAGATCTGGTTTTCTCAGCCATTTGAAAAAGGAGCTGCGTCGAAAGCAGGTAGACGTCTATGTGGATGACAGGCTGGAGAGAGGAGATGAAATATCATCTGCACTTGACGAAGCCATAGAAGGATCAATGATTGCATTAGTGATATTCTCTAAAGAATATGCTTCTTCAAAGTGGTGCTTGCAAGAGCTTGTCAAGATAATGGAACGCAAGGAAACGAGTCAACAAATTGTGATTCCAATTTTTTACTACGTACCTCCAACAGATGTCAGGAATCAAACAGGCGCTTATGCAGAATCATTTAATGATCACGAACAGAGGTTCAAGGATAACATGGACAAGTTGAAAATTTGGAGATCTGTCTTGACGAAAACCGCAAACTTATCTGGTCATGACTCACCAAATTTTCAGTAAGTTTGTTTTCACAATTCAATACATTTTATAGACCCCACAGTGATTTAGAATATGCTAAAGTTATCTCAAATCATGTCTATGAATTTATTATTTTGATCATAAGTAGCTTGTAATTTTGTTTCTTTTTTCTTTTTATAATATGCCAGAGACGAATCCGAGCTCATTGATGCAATAGTCATGGATGTCCTAAAAAAGTTGAAAGTTGACAACCATTCTGTGCCTACATCCCAACTTGTTGGATCGCATGAAAATCTCGGTAGTGTTGAATCATTGATGGAAATTAATGAGTCACAAGAAGTTCGATTTATTGGAATTTGGGGAATGGGAGGGATAGGCAAAACAACCCTTGCCCGAGAGATATATAACAGATTCTCGTCTGAATTTGGAAGTCATTGCTTCTTGGACAAAGTGAGAGAAGAATCAACAGGGATTACTAGTCTGTATGGAAAACTTCTTTATGAGCTATTTGGTGAAAAGGATCTCCACAAAAATATGAATGATGCAAAGAGAAGGCTGCAACGAGTAAAAGCCTTAATTGTGCTTGACGATGTGGACAATCCAAGTCAACTAAAAGGAGCCGGGCAAATACTTATTAATTTGGGATTGGGCAGCAGAGTCATTGTAACAAGTAGAGACAAGCATGTTCTTAGGAGTGGACGGATTGATGAAAAATATATACATGAAGTTAAGGGATTGAAATTTGATGAATCACTTGAACTTTTTAGTTCACATGCTTTTGATCAAAGTTATCCCAAAGTAGGATATGAAGAGCTATCAAAAATGATAGTTCATAATTTAGCTAAAGGCAATCCTTTGGCTTTAGAAGTTTTGGGTTCTCATTTTCATTCTAGAGATGAAGTATATTGGAAGAGTGAGCTTGACAAACTCAAAACTTGCCCCCATAGAGGAATTCAAGATATATTGAGGGTTAGTTATGATGGATTAGATGACATGGATAAGGAAATATTTTTAGACATTGCATTTTTTTTTGTGGGAGAAAAAAAGATAGCATTACTCAGGTGCTAGAAGCTTGTGATTTCAAAGCAGTTAGTGGAATCCAAAATCTCATGGATAAAGCTATCATAAAAACAAATCAATGTGGTGGAATCATAATGCATGATTTGATACTTGAAATGGGTGAACAAATAGTTCGTGAGGAATGCAAAGATCCTAGACTACGTAGCCGATTGAAAGATGCAAATGAGATTTATTGTGTATTGAAAAGTAACATGGTAAGTGAAATGTATATAATTTTTTATTTTTATTTTTTTAAAACAATTTTTTAAAAAACTAATATTATTTTGATTTTGATTTTGTTTAGGAAACTGATAAAATTGAAGGCATCTTATTGGATTTGGATGCAATCAAATATTTACGATTGCACCCAGACACCTTCACAAAGATGAAAAATTTAAGATTTCTCAAAGTTTTTCATTCTAGATTATGGAGGCTCAAGACATGGCGGATGGATAACATTGATGCGACATGTAATATAGAGCTTCCTTTGGATCTTGGCCTTTTCCCTAATCAATTAAGGTATTTTTATAGGATGGATATCCATTGGAGTCTTTGCCATTAGAAGGCTATTGTTTTGAGAACCTTGTCGAACTATGCATGATAGAAAGCAATATTAAAAAGCTCTGGGATGGAGTGCAGGTATTTATATATTCTTATATATATGCACTAATTAATGTGTGTTTGTGTCTTCAATTTAATTAAATTATTAGGCTTTTATGTGTAAAATTTTTTCTGTTTCCATTGTCACAGGATCTTGTGAATTTGAAGATATTAGATTTGTGTGAGTCCAAACAATTGACGGAGCTGCCTGATTTTTCTAGGGCACATAATCTTGAAGTTGTAGTTCTCTACGAATGTCTAAGTTTACGTAGTGTTCATCCATCCATTTTATCTCTCCACTCTCTTGAACAATTGGATGTCTCTCATTGCGGGAAATTAGAGAGTCTTGAAAGTGAGACTCATTTAGAATCTCTCTCTGAGCTTAATGTTGAAGGTTGTGTGAGCCTTAAGAAATTCTGTTTGTCATCAGAAAAATTGGATAGCATAGATTTAGAAGATTGCGTGAAAGTCGAAAAATTGCAAGTGCTGCCAATGGGAGGTTTCACGAAACTCAGAAGGCTTGTTATTGAAGATGGTGAAAGATTAAGGAGCCTTCCAATAAGAGAGCTATGTGGCTTGACAAATCTTGAGGAATTTAAAATTAGGAATTTCCAGCAGGAAATTAACACAGGGGAGATGCGCTCCCTTTTTGATGCTTGGCACAATTTAAAAGAACTACATTTGGATAGTTGGAGTAAATTGTCGGAAATCCCTGACAATATCAAGGCCTTATCAAGCTTGAAACACATTTTCTTGACAAACTGCCAGGGGCTTAAGTCTATACTTGGACTTCCTCCCTCCCTTCAAGAATTAGATGCCAGAGATTGCACTTCATTGGAGATTGTATTCTCCGACTCTCTAGTTCGGAATTGGTGCCAATTTGATTTCAAAAATTGCATAAAGTTGAAAGAGGATTCGATTCACTTTATTGGGGAACTACTAACTCATTTCTCTTTGACTTCAACATGTAAGGATGGTTTGTCATATGGTGCTGGAGCTCGTTACCCAGGAAGCAGAGTTCCAAAGTGGATTGCATATAAACAAATCACAGAGCCTTCTAATGCTATCGAATTCACTTGTAATCTTGAACGATCACCCCGATTATTGTTCTGTTGTGTTGTTCCTCATCATCTCTCATATAGAGATGACTTTTTCTGTGATTTTTCTTATGATGATAAGAACAAATTCCACAGGACATCTTATTTTAGTTGGGATAACGAAGACTTTTATCCTGAAGAAATGAATTCGGATCATGTTGTTCTATGGCACATGAGAGGGTGTTCATTTGGTGCTGAAAAAGGTGATGATGCCAATAGTTCATGTAAATTCTATATGGAATGTTGGAATGATGATCGTCGTTGTTTAGAGGAAGTTCCGATTAAAGCATGTGGAGTGCACGTAACATATATGTTAGAGTCGGACTCGACTGAAGAAAGAGTCCCTCCAACAAAGAAACAGAAAACTTTCAGGTATCTTCCGACCAGCCAACTGAATCCAACAAATCAATTTCAAGATGACATCATCTGTCATCCCTTGCAACTGAAATTTATACGCAAGAGCAAACAAAAGCGCCTCCCATACATACAGTTTCTTTGATATATCTTTACAGGTATCTCTCCCTTCTTTGCTTTTTAATTATAAGCTCACCTTCACTACTATTATCTTAATTAAAATCACTCTTGATTAAAAAAAAATAACTAGATATTTTTTCTATGCTTAGATATACTAAATTAAAGTAGTAAAATTTTCTACAATATTGTATTTATTATTTCAATATTTACACTCTATTGAAAAAATAAATATGCCCCTTTTTCCAAATTTCTTCCATTTTTTTATTTTTTAAATAATTCTTTCACATATATATATTATTTATTATTTCTCTACATATTTTTGTGCAGTATAGTACTTCAACATGTATAATAGCTATTGTAAATTATACCGACAACCCATACAAAACAATATATACATATATATATATATATATACATATATATATATATATACATATATATATATATATATATATTTGTTGGAGACAGATATATAATTTTTTTTTAAAAGAGTTTACTTTTGCCATCCACTTTTTTTTTTAATTTATTGATTGAGCCTGTATTTACATTTTATTTGTGAGAATAATAGATTATGAATCACCAAATTGTTCTATATAATTTTAATATGCACCTGATGACAGATTCTAAAGTAATTTATGTGATTACAAAAAAGGTTATTTTTGGAATAAAATAAATTGTTGTTTATTTATAGTATGTGAAACTTTTGTGAAATTAATGAAGCTATTTACAGATGAAAACTTTTTACAACTTTTGAAAATTACCTTTAATCAAATTAAATACGTTAGTTAAACCACAAGTGAAATAAACAAAGGCATTTTTGATGATATGATTCAAATGCTTCATTTAATTCTGTAAAACTCTAGTATTAACAATTTAGAGGTAAGTGCATCTTCTGGCCAAAGAAAAAAGAAAACAACTTATAGGTAAGATCTTGTAAATAGGATTGGAGGAAGTAAAAGAGCAAAACATAAAGCTTGTTGATGGTATTTGATGGTATTTTAATTTATGTAAGATACGAAGGCTTAACAGACCAGCCTAAGCTGAGCTCAAACTGGTTTGTTCGTTATCATCTCTTCTATGAGCATACATATTAGCTCCTTTGTGACTAATAAATAAATCTTCATTTTGTATGGTGTAATTTTGCTAGCTTGCTCTGTTTTGATAAGGTTGTTAGTCTGAGCATGATTGAGAGTTTGTAAATGACTTCTGAAACTTTATGATTTTTGTTATTTAACATGTTTTAAATATTCTATTCGTGACATGATTGAGATTTTGTCCCTGTGCTAATTTGTTTCGCTGTTTCCCCTAACATGTGAGAATAAATTTGTGCTCGTTCTATTCAATATGCCTAAAATTTCAATCATTCTTTTGCATATTGTAAAGTGTAATAATGAAATTTTTAGTACTTCAAGTTTGTCTTGGTATTAATTTGGTCCTTCAAATTTATTTTTTATCAATTTGATCATTTAAAGTTGCCTTGATTATTAATTTGGTCTTTATTGTTTAAATGGGGGGCAACACTATAAAACTCTGCTAACATGGATAACCAAATACTAATAGTAGCAATGTCTATTAATAAAAAGAAATATAATTTTTTAGGTAGAAAAAATACACTCATGAATTTTAAAAAACAAAAGAATAAAATGTAGTGTAAGGGACTATATTAATTAATAAAATTTAACTAATTTGATGCCTAATTTGTTTTCATTTAGTTATATATACATATCAAGTTATCAAAATACTTTACATATTATATTAATTTAAGAGTAAATTTGTATTTTGAAACTTAAGAGACTAATAAAATGATAATTTAAGAAACAGTAAAGGACTAAATAAATAATTAAACTAGAAAAATCAAATCGATAACTGAAACAAATTTAAAGGATTAAAAATTTTATTATCCCTTTAACTTTTGTCCCCGCTTTGATTATCATGAAGGAAGTTTCAAAACATTTATTTTGCTCCTCATCCCTACCTTGATATACTGTTTAATGCCTTTTTTTTCCCCGGTCCAGCAATGCATTGCTGTCAACTTCCTTGAATCCTTGTTTGTTGATCAATTTGTGTGGCTTGGCATATCTTCTTGCATCTACCTGGTAAGAATCATAACGTTTCCCTAATGTTTGAGTTTGTTCTTGGAATTATCAATGTGAAGCTTTCACTCAGTAATTGAGTTAGAGGATAGAAATAGGAATTTAATTACTCAATAAAGTGAACTCAAGCTTTGAACTTATATTTTTCATCCACACTAACAGAGGGACTTTGCGATGGTCATGTTTTTAATTTATTGCGATTTAAGTTGGGAGCATTTCATCAATTTTTATTTTTTTTTTTTTGCCCCTGACATGGATATATTTAGTTTGTACAATGCAGTTGCTTCGCGTTCGAAGAGCAAGCCCAAAATACAGTAGTGAAGAGTCTCTCTGTTGATGATCATTGAAGTGTCTTTGACATGTGAATCATATGTAGCAGTAGCACCATTATTGTGACATTTTTATGTTTAATTTCCTTATAGTAGAAACATCATCGTCACTTTTACTTAACTAGCCATTGGCTGTGTGTGAGCATTGTATAGTAGTTTTATATGGAACAAACCAGTATTTCATTCATTTATTTTTATATCATAGCAGTACATAACTCTATCATGTATACATACAAGGGCCTTGAATCTGACGCACAAGTTGCCAACAAAGGAGTTGAAGGTGCATTTTCTTGCTCCCTAAATTGGTCCAAAATTGCACTCCTAGTTACTGTTGATGTCTTCCTCTCTAGTTAGGCTCTTCATGTATCCATTTGAGGTTGTCTAGGTTAGAATGAGCCCATTTACTTGTGCATATCATATCAGTGTTTTGGTCCTTTCAATATTGTAGATATGGACTCCTAATGGATCATTTAGCCTTTTGATTCTTTCTCTTGTTATTGAGCCCTTCAATAAGTAACTAATAAGAGTGAGTCTACTAGGAAGATTTATCTTTCAAAACATGCCAAATTTAAGTCTAAATTCATATTAAGAGAGATGCCCATAATTAATATTCGATCATGTCTTAAATAAAATTGCCTTAAAAAAAAAACACTTGTATGCAATAAGAAAAATTGTCCACTGTAGTCTACCAGCTCATCAGCATTTGGCTGCATCGAAGAATTTATGGTTCTAAATAGTTCCATATGCACAAAAAATCGACTTACAACAACTAAGAAATGCTTACATAGAAAAAGAGGAAGATTTAGGTATTTAGTTTTATATACACAATATATTTTTGTCTAATTAAATCAAAATATGTGGATTTTAATTAAAATGTTAATAATATTATTGACAGAGTTTAATGCAGACCAGTATTTCATTTCTTTCATGTATTAATATATTTGTGGAGGGACTTGAATCTGGCGCATAAAGAGGCAAGATTGCTACTATATTTCCTATGAATAAGCTACAATATAACAGAAAAGATCAATCCAAATTATTACAAGGAATATTTACAATAAATGCTAGTTGATTATACTCGATCCACTTCAATTGGATCATTAATATAAATAATGTATGACTTGTTAATGCTATCTTCAAAATTTTGCCTTGTAATTCTGTGTACAGCTACTGGTTCACCAAACGTTGTTTACAAAATCCAATTTCCTGGAAGCAACATTTGTTTTCATTTGCAAAATGTCGTTTTGGGATGATATTCTTTTTTTTTTTTTATAAAAAAAAAATCTGTGTTGAATCACCAAAACAAGCATATATCATTGGGTTCATTGAAGGTCAATTAGGGCACCCGCTAAGCCTCTTAGTAAGTATATAAGCTATTTGGTGTTTGTTAGGAATATGGGACGATGATACAAGTAATTCCTACTTTCACTTAATCTATGAGAAAATAACAGTCCAGAGTGATCCCTTAGAAAAACCATCTTTTAGGCAAAGATTGGGAAGTTGAAGCATCACACATCTTCCAGAAGGGATTTCTGGCTTCTTATGCCCTGATGTGGAACACGGGATTCCATGTGTTGGCTCAGCCATCCACCACCAGAAAAAGTCAATTTAGCGAGGTATGAATGCCTCAATCCCTCGCTAAATGGCTTCTATCCTTTACTAATTTCGTTGCAAAAAACAAACTTGCGCAGTTTCTTGCTAAATTTAGCAATGACCATAATTTATTGCTAATCCTTTGCTAAATTGGAAAAAAAAATACCCACTTTAGCTAGGGATTATCAAGGACATGCATTCCTCACAAAATTAGCCAGGGACATCGTCCTAGCTATTCCCTTCCTAAAATAGCCAATCTTTTAACTATGATTTGTGAGGGATATATCCATCGCAAATTTTAGGGAGGAATTGAATCCCTCACTAAAACTTCAATATTTTTTTTAAAAAAATCCCTAACTAATCCTTCATTAAATAATTAATTTAATTTAAAAAATCCTTTGTAAATTTGCAAATTTTGACATTGTGATTCCTATATAGCTACAACTAACCATCCATTCAAATTTCTAATCACAATCTATAATCACATTAATATAACAAAAGTTCAAACCATTTCATACATAGAATTGAACACAATATAAAGGAGTACGCGTATAGAAAGTTCAAGGCACTTCAAACAAAAGTTGTTTTGGACAATCATGACTAGAATCTTGTTCTCTAGAGAAATCTGAACTATTAGCATTTTATTGTGGAGTTGAGACCCTTTCACCCAAAATTCAAATGGCCCTGAATATGTCTTACTCTAATATCTTCAAAGGCATGTCTAATCATCTTTGTTTCATTTATGACATAATCTCTGCAACAATTAGTTTAAAGACATTGTCAAAAACTAAATTAATCAAACAGATAAATAGCTTCCAAAAATAAAAATTGATGGTTTTTAGTGATTCCACCCACCTTAGTGATTCTAAAAATTAATATATGCATGGAAAGTGACTACTTGATCCCATGACATTATAAAAGGCCTGTTTTAAGTGTCCTAAATAATAGAAACTTACTGACTAATTAAATGCAAATATCGTTTCTTTTATTTGGGAAAAAGTTATACGTATTAGAGGAAAATGCACCTGCTGATATGCATGTGCAGCAAGAAGTGATTTGATGCATATTTGTTTCACATTTAACCCGTCGTGAAGGATGACGTGATTACTAATCAGCACTCAAAATAGATGTCATTAGTTGTAACCTGTGATTATCATAACAGCTTGTGAACTCAGCTCTGTAATTTCTGTTTTATTTCCCCCATCTTTTAGTTTAAAAAAAAAAAAAAGAACATGGCAGAAAGAACATTACCAGGGTACATAAACATAATAATTTAAACAGGGGGGAAAAAAAGAAAACCTCTTAACAGAGATACTCAGTTATGAAAAAAGGAACTTTCTGCATACTTTTTTTCTGCCAACAAAGCAAAGATCTTTCAATATCATTAAAACCAAGAAAAGATGAATACATAAACACTGCTCAGAAATGAAGTCTAGTAACCAAACAGAAATATAAAAACAGAAAAAGAAAAAAAAAAACAAAAGCTATCCTCCATCTAAACCATAGCTCGAAAGATCAGCAGCAAGCAGATTTTGAAGAGTAAGTAAACATAAAATAAATGCAAGACTTGCTAGATAAACTAAATCAAAAGAATAAGTAAATGTAAAATTCAAAACAAACTCAACACACTATTGGAATCCCTTCCTCCACAGAGTAGAAGCCCATCAGAGCATGCACTAATAGTTGTATACCTACTCAAAAAACAAATGGAAACATGAAATTCAACCCGGTATCTCAAATAAATTTCATGCACTATATTATAGCCAACGGATATCATTACAAGAGATAGTTTTAGTAATTATAGCCAGCAAATACACTACAAGTCTCAGCATTTAGACAAAAATTTAGAACATGGAAATGTCATGTACATGTAGTTTCCTGCCTCACCAGAGATATAACCAGCAAGCATTAGATTATACAGCTAGCCCTCAATAATGGAACGAAAACAACAAAAAGTATTCATCTTGAAATCATCACATATAAATAGGAACCTTCAAGAGCATACTCTAAGGACCAAGTTCACCTTTAAGGATAGCAAAATTATCAAGATTCCTTGACTTATCATTCAATTTGTCTCTTCTGTCTATACAAAGGTCAAAACAACTTTGAGCCTCAGATGCAAGCTGTTAGAAGCCAAGAACACAAGTCAGGAGAGGCAGCATCAACATATAAGCTTTCCTGCATTAAGATAGAAATTCAGCAAGAGATTAATCACAAGAAAATTCGAATCACATAAGCAAAATATAAATAAAAAATGCAGAACATAGAACTAGAGGACTGTAAGAATGTGTGATAAATATTTTGTTAGTTGCTTAAATAGTAAATTAGTTATTATCTTCAGAGTTAGTTATTCAAACAAGTTATTATATTTAGTTATTATCTCATCAAAATAGTTATTTATTATTTAATAAGGATAGGACACACATTCAAAAACTTCTTTTATCTATTCTCTCTTGAATTTTACGAGAACAAAACAACATAAGTAGTACAAACACTTCAAAGTTATATTTATGGAGAAAATCAGGCCACCAATCGCAACTTTGTAACATGTATTCTTACCAGGTTATGAGCTTCATCAAATACGAGTATGATATAATCCCAAAAAATATTCAGAGATTCTCTATACCCATGGTCAATAAGATAGTTGCATGGTGCAAACACCATATCGACAGCCTTGTGAAGTTCTTTTGATAAGTACCAGAGACACCTGAGGTAAAGACAAGCCATGTGAAACATATGAGAGTCCAAGCACTTGACAATTTCAATTGGTTGAAAGAAAAAGAAAAAGCAAAGTGACATTAAACAATCAAATTCAAATGTTGTGATTTCATAGGGAAAAAAATTAAGCACAACAGCAAGAACCTACGGCCCAACTCTTTTTACAATGTTCACCAAATCCTCAATATCTATAGGTTCTTCTCCAAGATGGGGATTTCCCTTTGAGTATTCTAGAACAAGATTAAAATTAGTCTCAGGTTAGTCTAAATCTAAATGTCGATGCTAAAGCATACTAAAATGCACAAACACATACACGATATTATGATCAAAATCATATCCTAAAAATTTTGAAACACCAACATAAAATAGCTATAGTATGTAAAATATATGCAAGCTTAGAAGACGTGAGAGGAGTTTACTAGGTAAAGGTTAAGGCACTAAGAAAGTACACAGGCAAAAGGAGAGGATTATACTTCACCCCAGATACATCAAGATTCAAGAACAGATACAGTTAGCAAACTAAGCTCGACTTTTTGGTAGTAAAGATGAATGAAACATCATATAGTGACTATTTACAAATAGCAAAAGCATCATATAGATCACAATGAAAAGCCAACTAACCTTGAGCAGAAGCTTCCCTGTCCCAAATACCAAACCATTGTGCAGACTGAATCGGGAAGGCTTGAGACCAACGTAATACACAGTTAAAAAAAAACAGATTAAGAAAAGAAGAATCAAGGGAGAGAGGGAAGAATAAGAAAAATATGTGACTAGGGTTTGATGAGGGAGGTGGGAAACGGAGAACGGAAAGAGTGAGAGAGGTTACAAGAAAGCATACCGAGTTGGGGTTTTGTGTTGAGAATGTCGTTGTAAGAAACCGATGAGAAGGCCATTGCAAGGGGAGGAACCGAGGAGACTGTCGTTGCAAGAGAAGGAATCGAGGAGAACAGCGTCGCTGAAGGCCCAAGAGCGGCGTGAACCAAAGAGACAGCAAGAGAGTAAAATAGTAACAGTGTATTTTGGTTCAAAAGGGAGAGGAGTAGGAATTTTAATGAATTTTTGTTTAATTTAAGAAGAGCGAGAAATTAATAACAATTTAATAATTTTAGTCTTATTAATTTTTATTTTTGTTTTAATTTTTTATTAAAAATAGTTATATTATATTTTAACAATTCTATTATTTTAAGGATATAAATTTATATTAAATTATTAATAACATTTTTTAAAAAATAGATATATTAATATTATATTTTATCAGTCTATTTAATAAAGAATATTAAAATTTTAAACAATATAAATAAATAATTTAGTTATAATTTTATTTCTTCTTCCCCCTCCAAAAAACCTCAAATTGAAGGGGGGGTTAAAACTCTCATCTAAAAGTAAGAATCATGATAGGCTTAGCTTTTATAGACCCAACCCATAAGAGCTAAAGTTTTAAAACTCGATTATTTAAAATTTAATATAATTTTGAGGTTCAGCCCTTATTTATAAGGTTCAAAGTCGGGCCCTTAAGCCCTCTTTCTCAAAAAAAAAAAATCAACATTTAATTTAAATATAATATTCTAAAATTCAATATAAAATAAATTAAAGTCTCACATAAAATTCAATAAAGATTTAAAATTTTAAATTTAAGATGAAAATTAAAATCTTCATTAATATAAATATAAATCCTTCTCATCATCATCTAAAAATAAAATATTAAATCCCTCAAATGTAGGTTCACTTATTGAAGATGAAGGTATAGATTTAATGTCAATTATTTTTGCAACTTCTTCTTTATCACTTACAATAAATATTAACTAAATTATTTCATTATCAATCAAATATATGTATGTATGTGTATATAAGATAACCTAACTTATTAGGGCTTAAAGAGCTGTTCAAGTTAAGTCCTTTTTCACCAAGTTTATCAGGGCAAGCTCTCAAGCTCGAATATTTTTTAAAAGAAATTTAATTTCTAAAGGTCAAACTCTTATTTAAACAGCACCTCTAAGCTCGACTCTTTATGCCTAACCTTTATTCTCGATTCTTCTCCCTTCCCTTTCTCTTCAATTTTTTAATCAAACAAGATGCTTCCCTCCCCTCCCTTTATGAAACACCAACCAAATAAGAAAAAGGGAGCAACTCTGCTCACCTTTTCTCCTTTTATGAAATACTAACCAAACAAGAGAAGGAGAGCAACTCCTCTTCCTTTTCCTCCAAAAGCCTCCAACTAGACACATCTTTAGGAGAAAATGTTGAGGGTTCAGCTATTGAGTAATGTACTGATCAATAAGAGTTAAGCAATGTTTGGGGGGATTTCTCAGAGGGAATGAATTCTTAGGCGGGAAGAAAAGAGGGAAAGCATAAACATTGGCTTCTAACTCAAATTTTAGGCCAAAAAAATTAATTTAGATGGTTATAAAATCACCTTGTTAATTTTCTTGTTAATATAGATATTTTATTTCAAAAAGGTATAAAATATATATTTCTATTTTCATCACTAAATATATATTTTTAGAGAGGTGTAAATATTCATTATTAATTTCCTTGCTAATTATATCTTATTTTAGAGAGGTATAAAAAATGTTTTACTACTTTTTCCTGCTAATTATATATTTTTAGAGAGTTTTAAAAATGCCTCACTGATTATCTTATCTTAGAAAGGAATACAAAATCCCACACTAAACCCACTCTTGTTAATTTATAATTTTAAAGATGTATAAAAATATTACACTAATTTTCTAGCTAATTATTTTAATTTATAGAGTGATACAAAATCTCATGTTAATCTCTCATTTTATAGATGTATAAAAATGCCTTACTATTTTCTTCATTAATTAATTTTTTTATGAATGTATAAAAATTCACTTGCTAATTTGATATTTTAAAAAAGAACGGATAATCTTACTAAATTTTCTATTTAATTTGCATTTTCCTGGTAACCAAGAACTTACTAAAATTGTTGCATGATGACGCTCTCGATACAAGAGAGACTAACAGTTGAGACCTTGTCAAGTTTTGTCCTAGTCTTTACTTTCTTTCCCCTTTGTAACGAGGAGAGAAGAAAAAAAGACAATCCCCCTTATTGTACTCAATGATGGTCATGAAATTAATTTGCTAAAATTTAAGTTGAAAGGGTAGAAGGATTTCACTTTGCCCATTGACAAATATATTTGGTTTGTACGATGTGTAGTTGTTTCCAGGGGCTAAATCAAAACCGCAAGTGAAGGGAGCCAATTTTATAGGGGTAAATATTTATTTAATTTTCTTATTTTAAATATTCATTATCAATATATTTTTAAACCATTTTTGAAAACGATGAAATTTTTGATCCCTCAAGCCTGTTTTAATTATCAATTTAGTTTTTGAAATGTTAACTCTATCAACCAAGTCCTTAAAATTTTATAATTATATAAAATTAGTCCTTATGTTTTTAAAGAGGAATAAAAAAATAAGGATTAATTGTGTATAATTATGAGAATTTAAGCACCTCAATGATAAGATTTAAATGTCAAGAACCAAATTGATATACTAAGACAAATATGGAGGAACAATAAGTTTTTACAGATATAACATAAGTTATAAGATCAAACTAAGCAAACATCCTAACATTATATTTTGTATTTTGGCCAATTTATTATACTTTTTTTAATGATATATTATTATATATCAATGATAAACTCCTTGTATATCAAAGTGAACTAGTCACACTCCCAAATTTTCAAAAATTTGGTCCATATTTTTAGATATAAGATTATTTTGGGCCAGTTTCTATGAGAAATAAAAGTTTCATTATATCTTAATTTTTATAATTGGAGAAATTGTTCAAGATTAAAAATAATCAAGAAAACACTTTAAATAATACATAAAAGCACATGTTCATTATTTAGGAGAATGGTGACTATGAAAAATAAAAGAAATTAATAATAATATATTCATACTTCTATTTATCATTACATATTAGTAGATAAAGAGAGGTAAATATAGGTAATCACTACTGTTTAAATACTCATCATTCCTAAATCATAAAGAGGTGAAATGTGCAAGTGATGAGAAAGGGGGGAAAATGGAAAAGGAATGCATAATTAACAAAGACAAGGAACACAGTCACAAGTGAAAAAATGGGGGAGGAATTGCAATTTTTCTCCTTGATCTAATCTCTTTCAAGTCTCACATTATTAAAAGGTCCATCCATGGTTGCTTCCTTGTCGAACCAAGTCTAAAATACCATGAAGATGAAGAGACATTCTCACCTCTGGTGATGCTTAATTAGCAACGAGCGGAAGGGACTCTCCTTTAGGGTCTTCCAAGGAGAAGCCATCAGCAAGTCCCAAAATAGTGAGATCTGCGAGTGCTTGTTGAAAATATCCATAGAGTCAAGCATCAACTTGCTATCAACAAGCATATGATAGCTAGTTGGAGGAGACCAATCATTATCTTCATCAAGCCAAAAGAAAAGGTAAAGATAGAAGGATTGAGAATCCATAGAATTGTTGAGAAGGCACCATAATATAAAAAGCACTTTTCTATACTGATTAATCAACCAATGATGAAAGTAACTTTCTACATTGGTTGTATAAATGATGTATAGAAAGTTAATATATACAACTAGTTCAAAAAAGTGGTCATAATTTAAAAAAGAGTTTAAGTGTATTTTCATTTCTAAACTACTCTCCGAGAAGCACCAGTGTTCTAAACTACTTGTCATATAGCAATTTCGTCCTTAAATAATTAAAAGGATTAAAGGGCACTTTTGCCTATCAACTATTTACTTATAAGTGTCTGGTATAATAAACTTATATGTAATGCAATTTTTTCCTTCAACATCTGAAAATGATGCATTGGACATCTTGTCATTAAAAAAAAAGTTAATTTTGATCATTAGTTAATTGAAAAATCCAAAAAAAAACTCAAAAATTATAGAAAATAAACCATAAAATTACATATAAGTACTCTATAAGAAAATTAACATAAATTAAAAGTTAAAGCATGATTTTGACTAGCCATAATTTTAGGGACTTAAAGCATGATTTTGACTAGCCATAATTTTATGAGTCATTTTTTGCAATCTAAGGTCCCTTTTTGTCATTTTTGTTCAACTAATAATTAAAATTAATCTTTTTTTAATGACAGGGTGTCCAATGCACCATTTTAAAATGTTGAAGGGCAAATTTGCACCACTTGTAAGTTTAGGATATCAGATGCTACTCATCAGTGAATAGTTGGGGGGAAAAATGCCATTTAAACCTAATTAAAACATAGCATATTTCACCCTGACATCAAATACCACAATGTTAACTATTAAAAATGCTAATTGAGACTTAAGTATGATAAAAAAATGTCACCTATCATGCTAGATATATTTGACTTAAGACACATTTTTGTCCTTAAACTATTCTTCGAGGAGTACCAAATGTTCTAAATTATTTGTTGTGCAGCAATTTTGCCCCTAAAGTAATTAAAACATAACATATTTTTAAACCCACTTGGCATGATAGGTGGCATTTTTTTTGTCAAGCTTAAATCTCATTTAGCATTTTTAAGTATCGACATGAGGACATTTAACATCATAAAGAAATATGCTACATTTTAATTATTTTAGGGACAAAATTGCTACAATGAATAGTTTTGGACATTAGGTGCTCCTTGGAGAATAACTAGTAAGTTCCACATGTGTGTATGCATGGCATCTAAGTGGATGCCTGGTTGAAAATTAAAAAATTCCCCTCTTAGATCATAGTCAGAAATTAAATTAAAAAACTTCTCTATATGTACTCTTGGCAACCTGATTGAAATTTCTTAAAAAATTACTACATGTGTACACTTGCAAGTGCTTGCCCTCAATCTCAATAACTGAGACTTACAGTTGTTGCAAGAAAAGGCAAGTGCTTGTCTACATGTGAGTTAGGTTTTGGGATTAAGATGATGCAGAGAAGGCAAGATGTCGAGATTGAAAGAGGGAGAGTAATTTAAAAAAAAAATATTGAGTATGGGCTTCCAATTGTATGCATGG